TGTGTGTTTTTTTTTCAGTTTTTTTTTTCAGTTTTCTATCAGCTGTGACATAATTTTATATTTTATCCAAGGGCATTTTTTTACCTTTATAGAGGGCATTTTCCCACTAATCTCATTAATAGTTTAATTAAAAATTCTTACATTTGATCTTTAAATTAAATTATAATATGTGATTATCTATACGTTATCAAATTAAATCATTTACACTGAAAAATACAACTGCATTAAGCAGTAGGTGCCAGTTGTGAATGATGCCATTTAGAGAGATGCCGTTTTATGAGTGAGTCATTGAGTCATTCATTCAAACGATTTGTTCAAACAGCAGATTTATGTTTTAATCATGTTACTTGTCTGGCGTTAATGAAGCGTTAATGTCGAGCCCTGGAGTCTTTGTGCCGGGGCCCAGGCCCAATTTAAACCCTGGGTGTTACAGGCAAAAAAATATCGATTGTATCAGGTTTGAGGATCACCTGATCCAATTTTGATGAAAATTACTCAGAATCTTTACTACTGAGTTCACAGATTTCACCATGATGTAATAAATCAGAAGGGAAAATTAGATAAAAACTTAAATGTTAGTAAAGTTTTGAACTGTTGGTGGTGTAAGTGGCGTTTGACAGCTAAATATATCTTCCAGAAGAAAGAGCTGAGAGAAATTTTTTCAAAAACGCTTTAGAAAAGAGTCGGGACGAGTATCAAAACAAACTTGTAGCCAATCAGCAGTAAGGGGTGTGTCTACTCATCCACTATAAGAATCAGTCTCAAACAACCATTCATTGCAGAGTATTGTAAGCGCATATCGCTACCCTAGTTGAAAGCTACTTTGCAGAGCCAGTTCCCGGTCCTAGTTGGAGTTTCTAGTTGTCTAAGTCTAGTCACGTCTAGTTTCCTGATTGCCTGTTTCCTGATTTTCGCTTGTCCTGGATTATCCCTCTCGTCTCGCCCTGTTCGAATACTGTTTGCCCCTCGCCTGGACCATAGCCTGTGTTTCGGATTAACCCTTTGGATTACCCTGTTTGGACATTGTTCGCCGGAGATCGACCACGCCCGCTCACTGGACTTCTCTTGTGTATTGCCCTCAATATACCTGTTTGCCATTGTCTGACTCTTGCTTGTTTTGACTTTGTTCTAGAATAAAAGCTTTGCATATGGATCCGCACGCCTCTCGTCTCGTTGACCCCGTAACAGAATACTTGGCCACACAAGGGTCCAGCAGCTTCTCATGTGAACATTGGCCAGGTATGGACACTGCAAGACTGTTGTCAGCCCTCGAGCAGGGCACACGCTCGCTCGAGGACTACATTCAAGAGTATCTGGACATTGCCTATCACTCTGATTTACCGGACTGTGTTGTGATAGATTTTTTCTGTAATGGCATTAATCAACCGCTAAAGTCGAAGCTCATACTTGAGGGTCCGCGTTCGTCACTGTCAATTTATGGATTATGCTTTATTGACTGTGGGCTCTTTGTGTACTGTGGGTATCGTGGAGGAAGAACGTGATACCGCGTCTGTGCCTGTAATGGTGGCTGCTGAGTTTAGTCAACCACAAGCTCCGGGATATTCAAGTTTACTGATCGCTACTCCGGTGATGCAACCCGCTCGTGAAATGGCGGCCGCACTAGAGCGCGCTCGCATGATGGCGGCAACAGCGTAGCCCATTCGCAAAATGGCGGCTGCACTAGAGCACACTCACAAAATGGCGGCGACAGTGGAGCACGCTCACAAGATGGCGGACACAACAGCACCCCGTTATGTCACAGCTGCCCTTCATGAGTCCAGTCAAGTCACCATTGATCCTCCCGAGTCAAGTCAACTCACAGCAGATCTTCGTGAGGCAAGTCAAGTCACACCTGTTCTTCATTGCACATGGATCCGCACGTCTCACGTCTTGTCAGCCCCGTAACAGAATACTCGGCCACACAAGGATCCAGCAGCTTCTCATGTGAACATTGGCCAGGTATGGACACTGCAAGACTGTTGTTAGCCCTCGAGCAGGGCACACGCTCGCTCGAGGACTACATTCAAGGGTATCTGGACATTGCCTATCACTCTGATTTACCGGACTGTGTTTTGATAGATTTTTTCTGTAATGGCATTAATCAACTGCTAAAGTCTAAGCTCATACTTGAGGGTCCACGTTCGTCACTATGTCAGTTTATGGATTATGCTTTATTGACTGTTGGCTCTTTGTGTACTGTGGGTATCGCGGAGGAAGAACGTGATACCGCGTCTGTGCCTGTAATAGTGGCTGCTGAGTTTAGTCAACCACAAGCTCCGGGATATTAAAGTTTACTGATCGCTACTCCGGTGATGCAACCCGCTCGTGAAATGGCGGCCGCACTAGAGCGCGCTCGCATGATGGCGGCAACAGCGTAGCCCATTCGCAAAATGGCGGCTGCACTAGAGCACACTCCGTCCTGTCACGGCTATGGAGGCTGTCTGTGAACTCTCTGCCTGTTCTGTCACAGCTGTTGAACGTTTACAAACTATTGTCTCATCCTGAACCGGCCAAGAAGGCCATTTGTGAACTATTGCCCTGTCTCAACCCAGCTGAAAAAGCTGTTTCTGAACTCTCAGCCTTGTCTGTCACACCTGAGGATGCTGTTTGTGAATTTCCTGACTGTTCTGTTTCCCCAAATGTGTGTCAACTGTCAACGTGTCCAGTATCCCAGAGTTTGTTTGATTTCCCTGTCTGTCCAGTTCCAATCAAGGAACCTGTTAGCTGCCCCATCTGTCCAGTCATGAGCCCAGAAACTATTAATGCATCACATGTCCTTCCCGTTAACCCTTTCACTGCCATAGAGATTATTCAGGAACTGTCTGCTTGTTCTGTTTCCCCAAGTGTGTCTGATTTTGAACCATCTGTCTGTCCAGTCACTGAAATATCTACCAGTCCAGTTTCTGTTAATCCATCTAATTTAGCAAAATCTGTCTGTCTGGTACCAACTAAGCAGTCTGATTTGGAGTCATCTGTGTGTTCTGTTTCAAACAATGAGCTTGAGTTTGACCAGTCTGTCTGTCCCATTCCTACCTATGCATTTGATTATGAACTGTCTGCCTGTTCAGTTGTCACCAGGGAAACTATGGATGAACTTTTTGAGTTCACTGCCTCGGCCCTTGGGGCCGTGAATACTCTGTATGTGTTGTCTGTCTCTGCTTTTCCTAGGTCTCCGTCTCTGCCATGGTCTCCTGATCCATCTGCTCCACCCTGGTGGGCTTCTGCTTTGTCTGCTCCATCGTGGTGGTCTTCTGCTCCATCTGCTCTGGCCTGGTGGTCTTCTGCTCCTCCGTGGTGGTCTTCTGCTCTGGCCTGCTGGTCTTCTGCTCCTCCGTGGTGGTCTTCTGCTCCGTCTGCTCCGTCTGCTCCAGCCTGGTGGTCTTCTGTCCTGCTCTGGAGGTCTTCTGTTCCGCCGTGGGGATCTTCGGACCCGTCTGCTCTGCTGTGGTGATCCTCAGCTCCACCTGAACCAAAAACATGTGTGTGTTCCCTACTGTGTGTGTGCACTTGGATGAATTAAATGCAGAGCACAAATTCTGAGTATGGGTCACCATACTTGGCCACGTCACTTCACTCATGAAATGTTTCTCTGTGAGTCACCTGTCACAGCAGGATCTGCTCAATTCACCATGTTCCTTTTCTCCTAGATCTCTGTTACCTGCAGGAACTGGATGTGATCCTGTGTGTGTGAAAGCTGCTCCAGTTCAGCGTCTCTCCTCCTCAGATCATTGATCTCCTGCTCCAGTCGCTCCAGTCGTCCTTCAGCTCGACTCACTGCAGTCTTTTCCTGATCTCTGATGAGCCGTATCAGCTCAGAGCGGCTTCTCTCAATGGAGCGGATGAGCTCAGTAAAGATCCTCTCACTGTCCTCCACTGCTGTCTGTGCAGAGCGCTGTTAGGACACACAGTGATTCAGGCTTCAGTGAGTCTGAACTGAGACGGAGACAAACTTCTCTTCTTCTCCAGACTCACCTTATGAGACTCCACAGCCTCTCTCAGCTGCTGAAGATCTTTCTCTCTCTGCTGGATTTCAGTAAAGATCCTCTCACTGTCCTCCACTGCTGTCTGTGCAGAGCGCTGTTAGGACACACAGTGATTCAGGCTTCAGTGAGTTTGAACTGAGACTGAGACAAACTTCTCTTCTTCTCCAGACTCACCTTTTGAGACTTCACAGCCTCTCTCAGCTGCTGAAGATCTTTCTCTCTCTGCTGGATTGTCTGCTGGAACGTCTTCTGCGTCTCCTTCAGCTGCTTCTGCAGGAGAAACGGATGATAGTGAACGTCACAGAAAACTACATATAAAGAAACTATTAATATTATTGAACAAGTACAACTAGCAACCTAATTCGCATGCATTGTGCATACTGCTAGGCACCTCTCTCCAAGTCACCAGCTGATGTGTTGCTTGGCTGGCTAGCTGTTTCAATACTTACTACTTATTGTGTAGTTAAGAGGAAAAGCATGTCTTTTCGTCATTTTATCACTTTTTAAATGTTGTCATATTTCTCCAGCTACTCTTCCTTTTCAGTGGTCTCCAGCTCCTGTAGCACACACTAGCGTGAGGCTGCCTCTGCAAGCTGTGCAGGCTGCACAGGCTCTCCAGCATTTTCCCCCGAATATCACAAGCCCCCGTGGCCTACAGCTACAGCAGCAGCTGCTTATGCTTGCAACACATGCCCTCACATCTCAGTCTTTTCCTCCTGTTACTTCGAATCCTTTTCCTTTTCAGTGGCCTCCAGCTCCCATAGCAGACACTAGCCCAGAGGCCGATTTAAACGTCAGGCTGCCTCTGCTGACAATTGCAGCCCATGCTCTTCTTCCTAATAGCTCCCTATTTCATTCAAAATTACGTTGTCTTCCAGATCAAGTTCCGGCTCCCCTCGAGCTTCAAGACACAGCAGGCCGTCAGCAAGCCTGGGCCGCGCCCCAGACTCGGCTTCTCCTCACACTGCATTGCCTCACTCCGCTTCTCAACTAATCACTGCGGCGCCTTCAGCTACAGCGCCGCATGCAAAGTCGCCCGCTGGCGTGGCTTCCCAAACTCCTAACTTTCCTAACTGGTAAACAGTTGGCGGTTAAAGTTTTCTATGCACAATTTGAATTGACGAAAGTCACGAGACCTATTACTCTCTATCCAATCATGTTGATGGATAAAAATAAAATTAAAATAAGCATGTAACGACCACAAACGGAGGAAAATAGCGGAGTAAAAGTACCGATACATCACTTAAAATGTACTCAAGTAAAAGTAAAAGTACACAATTTTTAAACTACTCAAAGTACAATTACTGATAAAAACTACTTAATTACTGTAACGTGAGTATTTGTAATTCGTTACTTCACACCCC